GAGGCCGCTACCAGCCGAGCAGGTCAGATGTGATCGACGTGCGACCAAGACGATTTGAACCTAAGGCATCACGCGCTTAAGGAGAAGAACCTGTGAGGTCGAATTCGAATCCACGAGTCAGATGTGATCCTACTCGGACTCTGATCCAGGCCGAACATAATTTGGGCTTTAGGATTCGTGCGAGGTCCAAGTGTTGAGCTCGTGACGGATGCCTGTATATAGTGAGGGTGCGGCACGCTCATTCAATTGATCGCTTCGATGCCATCACTAGGGCTCTGCATGTGCAACTAGCCACCTCCACTCGCTGCCGGCTATGTGATCGGACCTAGCAGTTCGTCACACAGTGTTCCTCCTACACGCGCAGATACCATTAGAGGCGGTGCACTTGCGCCGCTCTGTCGAACCTATACGTGGGATCCAACGACCGGCTATTTGAAGGAGATCAGACGAGGAGGAGACGGACCCTGCGGACGCGCTGCCCCAACTCTTCTTCCACTGCACTGCATTGCGCGTCTAGTGGTAGCGATCCGTGATCCATCTCCTGTAGCATGTTCATGGTTGATCTACGCATAGGAAAAAATTTATATTGCAGTCGACGCACCCTACCATAAATCCCAACACATGGGCTACTAACGGTGTTATGGCCTAGGGGTGCCTGATTATATCGAAAATTGGCCCATGCCCCCTAGGCCAGTTTATGCCCTAGGCCACCATCCCGACTTATGGCTAACAGAGAGAATACCCAGAAGACTTGGAGTACATGACAAGAAGGCCGGCATCTAGGAGGACTCCTCCGTAACCCTAATTGACTAGGATCAGTAATCCTAGACCCCGGCACACATATAAGCCGGGGCTAGGTTGGTCGATAGGTCAAGAACCATAGAGTTGATACTCAATCCCTTGATCGTCGTTGTAAACCCCCTATACTCAAGCAATACAAACGAGTAGTAAGTAATGTTTTACCTCCATCATGAGGGTCTGTACCTGGATAAACCCTCTCTTGTTTCCTCAGTAGCATCTACTCGCCTGACCTTAGGGCATCTCCAATAGCAACTCGCATCCATCCGTGGACATGGGGAACTAGTCCGTGGACAGGGGGAACCAGTCCGCGGACACGGATGCGGGAGGCCGCCATCCAACGGCCAACACTATCCTATATATGTCCACTAGTAAATTCAAATTCAAATGTACTCCGATCCACATAGTGCGCTCGATCAAACCAGCGCCAAATCGCATGCCCTATCACAACAAAAAAGAGGCAAATATGCTTAGTTTTTACATGCCCGCATCCAAAAGAACATTAGTCCAATAGTTCGTGCAATTCTGCCCTCCCGGACCGGCAATCCTAGCCGTCTGCTCCCCGATCAAGGTGGTGTCGCCGCGCTGCTTAGGAAGCCTCGCCTCTGCATCCGCGTCTGCGTACGCCTCCACTGCGTCCTCATTCTCCGCCGCCGCCAACTAATCTTCATGTTGTTGCAACATCTGGTAGCAGACGGATTGCACAATGATTCTTGCATCGGCGTCCAAAGAGTCCACATTCAAGGTCAACATCTTGGTGTCCACCGCATTGGCAGTGATCTTCAACTTCTCTTCCTCAAGCTCGGCCTTCCTCTCTTTGATCATGGTCCTCCTCTCTTCAAGCTTGAGCTTCTTGTCTGTCACCTCCGCCAATAGTTTGAACCTCTCCGCCTTCTTGTCCTTGATGTACGAGCGCTTCAAGCATGCATTCTCCTTCTTCGCCAAGATGTCCTCGAACCTCTCTGTGAGCTTGGTAGCCGAACCTTCTCGCTTCGCCCTCTCCTCCTCCCACTTCTTCCCCCGTAAATTTCTTCTAACCTTCTTCGGTGGTTCTTGGGTTGGATTGATAGGGTCACCGATTTCTTCCTTGTTGGCTTGGGCACAGTTTTGGCTATGAAAAGGTTCCACTTTGGTTGCCCATTCAACTTCAACCAACAATGCATGACGGTGAAGGACTTCTTCTCCAACTTCTTGTACACCACACAAGCACGAGGAGGCTACAAAGTGAAACATTGTCGACAATGCATATCCATCTAGAGAGAAACAAAACAACACATGTCCGGCTAGTGATCAACAAAACTTTGCATATACGGCTGGTGATCAACTTACTTGCTCGATGAGTTGTGCACCACTAGGCCACCGTGCGATGAGACCTCTTGGATGGCGTACCATCGATGGTTGAGGGACTTTCATTCACGACTACGGATGAGCGCGTTGGAGTAGCGCGCGAAATTCTTGTGTTCATGGAACGATACGTGTATGTTCCTCCAAAAGGTTGTGCCCTTTTGCTCTGTGCCATAGATCAGATCAATGCTAGTGTCCAAGCATGCATCGCACAATAGCTCGTCCTCCAGCATGCTGAAGCTTTCTCCT